AATGGGGGGAAATCTATCCCACCTTTCGGCAAGGGGCCCCCACTACAGTCCATGAAATAGTAACTAAAACAATTTGAAGCGAACATGAAAAAAGTCCCTATTCCTCCTTTATATATTCTCGTTTCAGTTGGGAAAAAGAGGACAAACACATTTCAATTATATATTCGGACGAAAATTGCTCGTTGTATGTAAAGTTCTATTTAGCCCACCAGCTCTCCGAGATTAGTAAATCATGACTCCTCTGGGTGAGGTGAGGTATGTCTTCTGAAACCTCGCAGTCTCTCTCTGATGCCTTGCTCTCACTCCTCTCTCCTTCCCTGTTTACCTGCTCTGTCCACTATGTTCCAGGCTGTGTGGGACAGCTGTTCAGCCAGGCTTTCCCTCGGTGCAATTACGCTGACGGGCAGACCTCTATCTTTCATATCTGTTGTCGCCTCATCCGCCGTGTGGTACAGCTTTATCCCTTCTTTCTAGAAGACTCGTAGTTTAGCAGGGAACGGAGTTTGGAATCGAATATTTCTCTCCTTTAACACGCGCTTTGCTTCAAAGTAGTCCCTAAGTTTTTGTAAGACTGCAGGAGGATAGTCGTGATCAAAATATATTAGTCTCTCATTCATCAACACCCTCTTCTTTCCCCAAGCTTTGCGTAAAATCTCGTCTTTGATTTTGTAGCGGATAAATCTAATCACAATGGACCACGGCTTATCATTTCTGTCCTCCGAAGTCCTCGGGCCGAGCGCCCGGTGCACACTCTCAATGCCGAGATCAGTGGTTGAGGGAATTTCCAGCGTGTCCCATAATAGCTTTTCCACAAATTCTTCCGTAGACGACCCCTCCGTTCCTTCTGGAATATTGTATACCCTCATATTCTTCCGTCGAGATCTCCCTTCCTGATCAAGTAGTTTGCTTTCTTGCCGTTTCATCACTTTTATCATCTTGCTTAGCACTTGCTCCATATTTTCAACACGGTCTTCCACTTTTTCTATTCGCGTCTCCATCTCCCCTATCTTATGATTAACAGTAGCGAGCTCAGTTTTAATATCATTTAGTTGTTGTTTTGTGTCTTTCCGAAAGTCCAGTATCTCTTCCAACACTTTCGCTAAGCTTGCTATGTCCTGAGGGGAGTTAGCATTAGCCCCATCACCGCTCGCCGTATTTTCTGCACTTAACGACTCATCAGTTGTGTCTTTTTTATTTCATCCCTTTTCCCCATTCTGGCCTCACTTATCAAATCAACTGTTATCGAGTAATTTTATATTTGACTATATTATGAGCCGAAGAATATATTATTACCGGAGCTATTCCTCTAGACTGCCATTCTAGGTGGTGACGTCACCGGAACCTCAATCTGTGCAATTTTATATACTACAACAACATTTTGATTGACACTGGCCAACAGACATACAACATTGCAGTGTTGTCTAATATGGGATTGTCAACCAGAAGAGGCCTATTGTTAACAACAAACAGATCTCTCTACAATTAGTTGTACATTTAAAATTTACTTAGTGCCAGCATAACACTACATATTATGTGAGGAGTCATATGTATAGCATTATTCCAACAAACATAATTTAACATAAAAACCCTATCAGAGATATGGGAAAACTATGTTGACAACTGCATCCAACATAGGCTTGGAATAGATTAAGCCTATACAGAACTTACATAGAACTTATTTGCTATTTGAAAGAATACAGATATTTTGTCTTTTCTGGGTTTATTTTTTTCTGTACTGCATACCACTGTGGTCCATGTGATCAAAACTGCATCCGGTACAATTTAAGGCTCAGTTCTCAACTTGATCAGGACCCAACGGCAGAATACAAACAGAATGCATAGTCACAAATGTGGCAAGGATAGATGTATTTCAATCAAATGTTTTAGAAAGTGACACCAGTGATTGAGTTATCTTTCCTTAGATCAGTAGGTCACAAAAATTTTAAAGCCATGTCTAGGCTAACAGGAATGTGTGTATTTTACTGTCTACCTGAAAACGGAGATAAAGGGAAACAGTGAGAACTAATTAGGGATGCTACTTATCAAAATGTTTTGTTATTTTTTTATCCCTCAAAAGTGGGGGGATGTATCAGGATTTCCATATAATTGGGTGGGGGGGGTGTGTCTCCCCACACCCCTGCACGGGTCGGGTAGTGACAGACACTCCTACAAAGCCCCACCCACCAAAGAGGCCAGATAGTGAAATGCAAAGAAAAATACAACAAAAGGGAAAGAAGTCTTGCAAAGCGGAATACACATACCATAAAGAAAAATGAGTGCTGAAAAAACGAAAGGCAAAAAACAAAACATATTCAAAAAACAAACTGGCAAACAAAACAAAAAAAATCTCTCAATACATCAATTTTGTTTGCAGTGCATATGTGTTTTTGTGTATGGTACATTTAACTTAACAACCTAGTTGTTTAATATCTGAAACTTTTTTTTAAAAACACATTCCTGGCACCCATATTTAGTAAATTTGTTATATTTTTAGTTCAGCAGAGGAGCAAAACAGCTCTGAAAATTTTTATAATATATATTTTGAATATAAGCATTTAACTAAATCTTGAAATATTTCTTTACATTTTCAGGCACTCATTTAGTCAATCTGTATTTTTTCTGTATTTTTTAAAACACCTTATGTGATATGTTCAGCATAGATGCATTTTTTGTGTTTTCCAGTTGGGACACACTGATGTGAATAAAACTATAATTAATTCTGACTTTCTGTCCAGGCTTTTAAAAAAAAAAACAAAAAAAAAAACCGTCATATCGATATATATTGAATATAGATATAGTGACCTAAAATGATTGAGGTATTGTTTTTTCAGTTATTGTCCAGCCCCACCAGAAACCATACTACATGTTGTAAAAAATCGTGTGCTGTTACTTCTTTATTAGAGGCCATTATTTTGGACTCCCCCCTCCCCATGTCCTATTTCAGAATTTATCTGTACAGAAGTCTGTCTCAAAAATGCAATTAATTAATTTTTGAGACAGATTTCTATTCAAACAGGCCATTAGTTTGGATTGACGAAAGAAGAAAATATTGTGCATTTGAACCTTTATACGTCTAATGCGTACTTAAGAACATAAGAACATAAGAACTATACAAACGAGAGGAGGCCATTCGGCCCATCGAGCTCGCTTGGGGAGAACTTAACTAATAGCTCAGAGTTGTTAAAATCT